GAAAAATGGTTATGAAGAACCTAGGGGCAGGACAGGAATAAAGACCCAGATGTAGAGAATGGACCTGAGGACATGGGGAGGAGGAAGGGTAAGTTGGGACGAAGTGAAAAAGTGGCATTGACATATGTATACTACCAAATGTAAAATAGATAGCTAGTGGGAAGCAGCCACATAGCACAGGGGGATCAGCTCACTGCTTTGTGACCGCCTAGAGGGGTGGGATAAGGAGGGTGGGAGGGAGACACAAGTGGGAGGAGATATGGGAATATATGTATATGTATAGCTGATTCACTTGGTTATAAAGCAGAAACTGTGACACCATTGTAAAGCAATTTTACTCCAATAAAGATGTTGAAAAAAAAAGAAAAAACAAAAAAAACTCCCCAGAAACAGCAACAACAAAAAAATTGTGTAGGCTTTATAGCATATTGTTGTATCTGGTTCTTAAATTCAGTTTTATAATCCTTTGGTTGCCTTTTGGTTGGATGTTTAATCTATCCGATTTAATGTTATTATTGATATGGTTGTAATTTTGATGCCATTTTGTTTTTTGTTTTCTATATGGCTCATGAATATTTTTGTCTTATCTTCCTCTTTACCATTTGTCTTTGTCTTGAATGGCTATTTCCTAGTGTAACTTTTTCATTTTTTTAAAGATTTTTACTGTATTTTTGAGGTTTTTCTTAGTGGTTGCTCCTGTGTTTCCAATATTTAGCTTAACTCATCAAACTCTACCTCAGATTTATAGTAACATACTTCCAAAAAACTTGTGTTTTGATTTGGCTTCGCTATTGTTACCTTTGATGTCTAGGTAAGTCAATTTTTCCTTATGCCTTTGAGAGTTAGTCTGTGACTTAAGGTCTCATATTAACAGATCTAAATCCAGAAATTTTCAAACCTTAGAAGGGTTCAAAAACCACACATTCTGTTAGGAATTTGTCAGCTTCTAGTGAGCAGTTTGCATTACAAAACACAGGTCTTTATGTTTGCTCATGAACAAGATATTTTGTGCAGAGTTGTAAGTGTTCTATCAAAAGAAGATGTGATAATGATTATTCGCCTGGAAATTGGTAGAATTAATGGAAGAATTACTAGCTGTGTGGCTTTGGGCAAGTCACTTAACCTTTCTGTGCCTGATTTATCTTAAGTATAAAACAAGAATAATAACAGTAACTACAACATGGCATTGTTGTGCAAATTAGGTAAATTAATATAGGTAAAGCACTTAGAATATTGCCAGGCATATAGTAATACTCTAGAAAAGTTTTCTATTGTCATTATTATTATTACCTTGACATTTTTCTAACCTCTATCAAGCATTCAAGGCTTCTGGGTACTTTACAAAGCTCTTTGGCAAAAGCATTCATTTTCTCCACCCACCAACCCCATCTATAGCTGTGGGAAGTTGCTATTATCTAAGCCTGTTCAGTTAGTGAGAAGGAAATCCCAGTTTCCAGAGCAACAGCTAAGAGGTGATGGTGCTTCAGTGTGAAAGATGAGCTAAAAAATCTTCCAGGGACTGTGCTTGAAAAAATATTTTCTGCCCTTTTCAGTGATGTAGTATCCAGTGTTAGAACTGGTTTGGAACTTAACCTTGTGGTCCCTTTCTCCCACTGAAGCAAAAAAAAAAAAAAACTGTATTAAAAAGAAAGTCTGTAAGATTCAGGATCTTGCTTGTTTTATGAAAGGTTTCAAGATATCTGATAATTAATGCAAAATAAGTAATTAAATGGCTTCCCTTCCTAGAACACTGCCCAGGTTTATATAGGCACTGTGTTTATTTAAAGAATATGAGGGTGTTCAAAATTGTTAGATGGACCCTAAGCCATAGGCATAGTTAAAATCCTTTGGTTACATTTATACTGTTTCTAAGGAAACTAGCATAGTTTTGAGTCTCTGGCACTTGGGGTGAATTCATCCAGTCCTTTGATATTGTTGGCAGAAAGAAAAAATGATTTGGGTTTGGAGTGTTAAGGTCTTAAGCATCTGGCTGTTCTTTTTCAAGTGTGTAAATTCCCAGTTGGAAGTTAGTCATATTTTAGTTACTTTCTTTTCAAACAGATAAAGAAATGAAATTTACACTCTCCCAGGTAGTTCTGAGCGCACTTTTTTCAGCTGCATATTCATTCCCCTGCTCTCCTGGTAGACATTTTTTTAAAATGACCTTTTGGGTTAAGTTGTGTGGCTATAAACTGGCTGTTTGGGGAACACCTTGGAGAAGTTTCATTTTCCCCCTTCCACCTTACAAATATTAGAGCAAGCACAACCATAATGTTCACAGTGAGGATTTTGAGGTGAGAGCAGAAGGAGATGACAGTGGATAAGCTTCAGTACTTTCTTGTTCATTGGACTTTTTTTCCTCATGTGTTTGTACTCTTTGTTGTAAAATAACACGTTGATGTGGACTTGTTTGTAAAGGGATGAAATGGCACAGGTTTTCACCTGATGCGTAAAACAAGACAAAACAAAACAAGTAACACACTGCTACTCTGCTTAGGCAAGAGAGAAGAGTTTTTGAGAACACTACTAATAGTAATTTTGAATTACGTAGATATAGACCCTATCCTCTTGGAGTTTGCAGTTGGGAGAGACTGACAATCAAATTATCGCACAAATAAAAAAATTCACAGCATAACGTAAACTTATACCTGTGATGAATGCAATGAAGAAAAGGTGGATATGACCTGAACTAGGGGTTAAGGAAAGGTTCCCTGAAGACATGATTACTGGGATAATTTCTGAAGGAGGAGTAAGAATTACCTTGGTGAAGGGGAGGCTAGAGAGGGGGAGAGTGTTACAGGCAAGGGGACTAGCATGTAGAAATGTCTATGGTGTGAGAGATCATATCTCATTCTAGGAAGATGAAATAGGTCAGTGAGGCTGGAACTCAGGTAGAGAAAGAGTGATGCTAGAAGGGCATCTGACCCAGTGATATGATAAACAACCTGGGAGTCATTTGTGAGATTAATCAGAAAGGTACTTGAATACGTTAAGGAGAAATGAGAGCAGATGAATTGGAAGACTGAGGAATATTAATCCAAAGAGGAGAATAATAATGAGCTGGTCATACATACAGATAGACAGTGACCACGACTATTAAGTTGACTTTAATCAGTGTAGTGCATTGAGTTGCTACAATTGAGCACTCCTGAAAAAGGCTCTTCTCATTACCCATTTTTTCTCTTCACAAACCAGTTTCATTTTCACCTTGATTCACTTTACACCTACTGCATTTTATCACTTGTGTCTGGACACCTGAAAAGATTTCTCCTTTTCTTGGCTTATTTAAATACTAATTATCCATCAAGGTCCAGATTGAATTCCATCTCCTCCAGGAAGCCCTTCTGGACTTATCCATGGGCCTTCAGCCTCTGATCCATTACAAAACTTACTCTCCATACAATAACTTTAATAGTTTTCAAAATTTGCCTTTGCTACTCACTCTTTCATGTGTCTTGTGTCCCCAGCTAGACTGTGAGGCACTGCAGGGCAGTGACTGTGTCTTTCTCTTGTAGACTGATAAATATGCCAAGGACTGATCCAGGCCCAGAGTGGATGAATGACCACTTGTGGAGACATAGCCAATTCAGCAACTGACAGAAATAGACATACCTGAGATAAGTGGTGAGGGGAACAGAAAGAGCAGAGACTGGGGGTGGGGGAGAGAGGAAACGATAGAGAAAGTGCTTTTTAGAATAAGTCACTAGTAATGAGGCTAGTATCAGCTTCACACTCACTTATTTACTAGCCTTGACTCTTAGTGAGAACAGCCACAATAGAGCTGTAGAAAGAGGGAGAATAAACAAACATGAAGCATGCCTTATTTAGGAGGCAGCTTAATTACACAGATTGAGGTTTTGAAGCAGTCAGAGGATCCCTCAGTTCTCCAGGAGCACCGCTCTGCCCAGAGTAAGAAAGCACCTTATTCTTGGCCCAAGATTTACAGAGAAGGGGGAGGGGTTGCTGTTGGTGGTAGTATTGGCAGTGAGTGGAGGTAGAGGAGAGAAGAATGAAGGGAACTGGCAGAAGGGAAGAGCTAGCAATGAAGTTACAGTTGGGTGAATGAATTTCTGCAACAAATTCAGATCAAAGAGAAGGAGGGAAGGAGAAAAAATAAGGAGGAAAAGAAAGCAGTGTGAGCAACCAAGGCAGTAAACCTATAGGAAAAGAACTTGCCCAGGGGGAAATAAGTATACAGTTGAAGATAACTTCCTATTATAAACAAATTGCATCTGTACTATTTATTTTGGGTTTTAGCAAACCTCTGAAAAATCTCATGGTAATTAGATGTCCTGCCAGGCAGTTATTTAAGAGAAGCGTAGACCCTCCTTTTGCCACAGAGCACTCCCTAGTGCATTGAAGGTGGGTAGTAGAGCTCTGGGACCCCAGCACATCTCCATCTGAGGGCACTGCACTGGCCTAAGTGAGTATAGTATTAAATTTTATTTTATTGTGGTGGTGGTGGGGGTTTAATTTTGCATAGTATAATAGGAATGTATTTACGGTACCAATCACTTTTGCCTTTCCCCGCCCCCTACTTATTATTAAGATTTTTATTGTAATTATTTTAATAAAGTTGGAACAAACATGGGCTGCTCATAAGTGAAACACTCCTCCCAGTTTGGAGTTTCGTCTCCTCCTCATTAGAATTGTAAGAGGGTGGGGGAGGATAGCCGTCCTGCATCAAAGACAGGCACAAAGGCTTTCTCTGCAGATTAATTGGTCAGGAAAGACACTTTTTATATTGTGAAGTGGCACTTAAGCCGCCAATTCTTGACTGTGAAAGCTGCTTTTCCTGGGCAATGCTCTTTAAGGAAAAACTTCTTCAGTCCAGTGATTGGTGACTGAGGGAACGATGGAGCACAGGGTATTGGGCGGGATTTCTGCTCCTAATAATGCCTCCTTATCCAATGAAAAGCATTTCCTATTGAGACCCCCAAGAGTTCCCCCGGCCCTACGCTCCGGCCCGGACTTTGGGCCTTTTCTTGCGTCCTGTTTGTTAAAGGCATGCCAGCTACAGCATTCAAGAGGGCCGTTCCTTAACAAAGGGAAAGAGATAAATGTAAATAAGCTCACATTTCAGAATGAGCAGTTTGCTGTAAGAAGCTTCGGCAGCCCAGTGTCTGCTACTTTGGGCTGGGCTAACCTTTCCCTGTAAAAAAGAATAATAGATTAAAATATGCACTTCTAAAGTGCGAGTTGCCCGTTTACATGTTTATTAGCTAATTGTCTACAGGCATGAGCACACTCTCTCATCTAGCACACTCTTTCTTGGGGTAAGTCTCTTTGAGAAAGATTTGATTCGGGCGTTTGGTGGTGGGGGGATGGCATAACAAACTTCAGTGGAAACACTGATGCTTAGAGTGTTTGGGGAAAGAAGTTAGATTTCAACTCTGAAGTGCTGAACAGGGATCTTCGAGTCGAATGGTTAAAAAAAAAAGCAGGAATTTCTATTGTTTTGGCAATAATACTGTTTCAGTGGAAGAGATACAAGATTTTCAGGCTGTTGTTTCATGTAAACACAGTTGTCCTAAAGAGATGATTTAAAATCACAGAGTAGAGCAATTTAGAAATTCTTTTGGCTAGCTTTATATTTCTTTGGTTTACAATTGATTGTGAGCTAATGTGGCTTCTATTTTGATGAGGTTTCTTCTAGTAAAACTATACAGCAGCGTGCCTTTGATGCCTAATTGATTTATGGAGAATGTGACATTTGTTATACTGAATAATTCATGAACTAGACCATAAAGGAAGAAACACATTTCAATGAAAAACTAATTCTGGCATAAATGGAATTTGCCCTTATATGTGAACTTAAGTGCTATTTTCCATACAAATGCAATAATGTGACATATTTAAAATTATCTTCTTGTATATCCTGAATATTTTTAAGATTTTTACTTACAAGATTTTGTTGAATTGATAAATATTGTATTTTGGTTACTTTGTTTTAGGAAATTGAGCAATGTAATTTATTATTATTCCACTGTGGAAAAGACCAGACAAATTAGAAGATTAGAACATTTCAGAGCTTGGTGGGGTTATTCACTTTGCTACCTTATCAATTATACCAGCTTTCTTTTTCCTTGACCAACATGAAGACAACAATAATAACCTAAGCTCCAAATTATTCAGTGGCTTTGAAACATGTTTATTTTTCAGAATAAAATTTCAAATAACATATCCCATCAACATAGATTGTAAATCTTTTTGCCTTGTCACAGATGAAATGTGCTGTTCCTATAAAGGATGAGTTCAGCTGATACACTTGATGGCGGCTACACTCTAAAGCATCTCCAGCTAATCAGAGATGCAAATCAAAGCCCTATTGGAACAATCAGACCTGCCTTTCAGAATGTGTACTCACAAAAGTTAAAGAGAGGACTGGGAATATGCCCTACAGAAACACTCAGGCCAAGTTTAGCTAAAGCTTGATCTATTCAATTCCATTTGACAGAAAATGTAATGAGAATTGTTGCCCTTACTGTGATAAGGCTTAATTGTATAGTTGCCTTTTTTTCTCAGTGTATGGTCATTGTGTATAGTCTACTCTTGGCCTTCTTACAGGGGAGGAAAAAACTCACTAATGTGTTTGTGAATACTAGTACTGAAAATTGGGAGCTTAATAGGAGTTTACCTACCATTTGGAATCAATCCTCACTTTTAGTAGATAAGTAATTAGAGCAAGGCATGGGATAAGCAGTCTACTGATTCTCTCTAGTTATGTTCTGAAGTATTTCGATAACCTTATATTTTGAGGAGAGAGGTCACTGGGGAACAGGTAGAGAAGGTCAAGGATTAAGACCTAGACAATTAGAGCTGATATGGGCATAAGGACAGAGGATGAGGAAAATGAGGATATTAGGGAGACTTTACGATATAAATGGCAGCTTGATCTGTGATCCTTAGCTTCTGACAATAATTAATAATATTTACTTCTGATACTAAAATAAATCTAAACTACATATGGTGATGGATGTTGAGTAGACTTACTGTGATGATCATTTCACAATATATACAAATATCGATTGAATCATTATGTTATACACCTGAAACTAATATAATGTTATATGTAAATTATACATCAATTGAAAAATAAATCTAGCAATAATTTCATTGAGTCTAATAAAAATTAATTCCCCTTATCTCAGACTTAGAGGGATTAAAAAATTTTTTTGCAGTGACAAATGGGAGCAGGTAAAAACACTGACAGGAGGGAACAGCCAGTGAGGCCACACTGTCATAACATGAGTTGAAGGCTGCTATTAATCAAGGAAAAGATGGAAGGAGAAGAGAAACTGAGGTACAGAAAGGGACTATGACTTGATCTCACACAGTTAGCTAGTGATGTGCCTGGACGTGGCTATATTGAATTAACACCAAATATGAAAATTTCTGGGTATTTAAACTTCCTGGTTTGCTTTGATTCTAAACAAAAAGAAGTTTTCTTTATAATCTGTATCAATTGTGAAAGCCATAAAAGAAAGAACTGTTAATGCTTCTGTCTTTCTTTAAGATAAACCAGTAAAATAATGTTAATTTCATTCCAGGAATACTGCTCTCTGGAGGAGTGTGAAAATCAATCCTCCTTAATGTTAAGGTGATCTCAAATATATTTTAAATTATCTAATGATTTTATTTTTTAAGTTTTGATTCCCTTAGATTAGAGAAAAACTATTTCAGGAGAGTTGAAGCATAGCAGTCTGCTTTGTTTAGGCCACCTTCAGAAGAGGGTGAGATGTGATGATAGTGTAAGTTTGCCACTAGCAGATGATTCTACTTTACAGGCAGTAAGTGAGTAGGGTTCAAATTCAGTTGCTACCTGTATGAATTCCACTGCAGAGTATTTCTGGTTCTATACAAGTATTTTGGGTAGAATTGTGATTTGAAGATGTTACAGACATGCTATATTAGGTTGGCCTAGAACATCCTAGTAGAGGGAGCAGTGATTGTCAGTGTGCTAACTGAAGTAATTGAAGACTTGCTCATATCACTATAGTTCAGGGAAGAAAGAAATCCAGCTGGGTTGGGGGGGGTTAGAGACAAGGCAGTAAGGTCTCTACCTGTTGTTCCAGTCTTCTTTCCTCTTCTCCTATCAAGGCTCCTGCCCAATAGTAACAGTTGCTGCCAGGGAAAAAGAAAAGAAAATAAAACAGAAAAAAACCACAAAGAACCAATACAACTTCAGGCCAAATAAATCTTTGTTCAGTTATTTTTAATGTAATGTATTACCTTATAAAGTGGAAGAAGTATTTTTATGCCTTTTGTCACTAGTTATCTTTAAGTGATTATAAGTTACATAAACTCATGGACTTTATGTGTGTCAATATAACTAACAAAATATGACATAGCAGTAACAAGCTTTGAAAATAAAATGTTATCTGCAACTCTGTAATAATGAAATCCAAAGCATTTAGATACCATTTTAAAATATGTTGGCTCTCATTTACTCTGATTTATATCATGTAATATATTTCTTTACCTTATATTTTGGTATACATTTTATTGAAAAGCTCTCTCCATGGCACACTATTGTGAGTAATTCTATTTCACAGCATCCATTGGAGGAAATCTCTAACCACAGTACCTCCAGAAAGTTCATTGATCACCCAAGTCTTGGATAAAATTGGTTCCAGAATTTGGTTTGAACTAATGTGGTGAGTACCACTGTCCTGGTAATAACTTTCTCTAAAATTCTTAATTTTATTCTCCAACATTTTTTCTAACCAGTGCTTCCAATTTATTATAGGTTATATGATCCAAAAATCCAGAATGAATGGAAGAGTTGTAATTGTTTATTATAATCCAGGCAGGTATGATGTAAAAGAATATTGATTCTTCGGTTTAAACCTTCTCTGCCACTGGTATATGCCTTTAGCAGTGGGAGACATGGCTTTTGCTCATATTATCAGGATCAGTATCCAAGTATATCAGATGAATTGGTATGCAAATTGATAACTAATTTATCTGTTCAACTATGTGAAATAAAGCCAGATTCCTAGCGGGAATTTAAGAGCCTCACAGGATTTGCAAATAGGCTCTTTTAGGAATATCTAATTTTTTTCCCCCAAAAGGTCTGGGGCTTCTGCTGAGATGAGATATTAAGTCTGAAGACTCTAGACAATTTCATTAGATTAGGTTGAGCAATTTGTCTACAGTTGTCTTACTCTATAACTTACTCTTAGGGAAAATTCTACTTTAGTAGGGTTGATGCAAACTTTGGTCCCATCATATTGAGCACTAAACCACATTATTTTCCAAAAATTAGACTGTGTTATCAAGTGAAGTGTTAGTGAGAGACTGGAATATTTTTTGGTGAAAAAAATTAAGTTAAACACTGAGGATAGGAGCTGCTCAGATTAGGGCCTGTGTCAATTTCCTCCTCTTTTTAAATAAAGTAGGGTGACAAAACAGCCATAATAATCTTAGTGTGAACCAAATTTAACATAGAAAGCCTTTTTCAAAAGGATATTTCTTGCATAAAAATAAATGAGGACAAAAAAATAAAATAAACGAGCTTGTCAGTCTAAACATTTGACACAGAGAGAGGCTTGTTTGAGATGAGACCTGATATAGATCAATTTCCCAGCTCAATTCTAGAGTGAAACATTTACCTATGGCTTCCTCCATATGTAATTTTATAAGGCTAGGTTGTGTTTTGAAAACTATTATGAAACAGCAGCCAATGCATAGGAACATCAATTGGAACCGTGTGAATGATTGTGATCTGTGCTTGTGACTTGGCCTAGAAAATTTCCTTAAGGAGTCTTCTCTGTTAACAGCCACTCATCTGAGGAGTGGCAGTCTAGACATATTCCCTATTACTCCAGCAGGATGGTTTTAATCTGTATTTTTGCAACATTTTTGTATTTTTTAGTTTGCTTCACTGCTAGATATTTATAGAAAGGACACAATAGGTTTCAGCTTCCTCCGAAAACTATTGTGTCAGTGTTCCTAAACTTCGACCAGTAGAAAGAGGAAATGCTCTGGGGATCAGAAGCACTCTGATCTGACCCAAGCTCATTAAAAAGGGAGCAAAGCAAAAAATTTAAGTATACTCTGCCTTCAAGGCCTTGCCTCCCTGAGTTCTGGATTGTCTTCTGTAGGGAACAAAAGCAAGCCAGCCTTTCTAGGCTACTGGGCATATGCCAGAAATTAGAGCTTTGTTTCCAATGTATCACCTGAAAATTTAGCACTTAGTGAAGTAATTTAGGTATTCATCTTTATAGGGCAAAAAGGCTAACTCTACTTCCTCCAGGAGCCCAAAAGACTGCAAACATGGTATATTTCATTATGATTAGAAATTTTTTATAAGGGAAAAACATTGTGAACACTACTATGAACTGCCCATACTGACTCCATATGTGTAGGTCAAAGTTAAAAATTCAGCAAGGGCCAGATTTCTCTTTGGTCAACCTCCAGGTGACCTGCTTCCTGTCCATTGTCACTGAAAATACATGCAATCAGCACTCTGAACCCTTAGGTGATTAATTGTTAAAATAATTGGCTGTAAAAGTCTTCACAAGATAATAGTCTAATGCTACTTGCAGTGAAAGATGTAATTAACTGTGTCAGCCTATATTTTTTCTTCTTCATCTTATCTGAAGCTCAAGTGTTGGCCCTTTGCCTCCATTCAGTGCACAATATGTTAGCCATTTAGGAAAATCCAGTGGTTAAAAAACACTGTTTATTTCAGTCAAAAGAAAGGAAGCCAGTCAGAAAAGAGACCTTGTTTCTCTTTTTCACTGATTCTCCTTCAGAATTAGTTTAAGAGCCAAATGCCTCTCTGATTTTTTTTAACCATAGCTCAGTGGGAGATATTCCTTTTGGGACACACTCCTGGATTGTCCCATTATGACAAAATTGTGTAGTTAAGGTTGAAACTCAAGGGGGGATTTCTGAAGTAAAGGGTATACATGGTGTTAAGAGAAAGATGTGTTGCTAATATGAAGTTCAGCATACCAAGAAAGACAGAGACATAGGTGTCCAGTTGTGCCAGAGGAGGGAGAAGGAAAAAACTCCGGTAATGTTTCTTTGTGGTTAGGTTGGGCTGAATGCTTGTCAAGCTCATAAAGCTACTCACAAGCCCTGTTGAATCTTCCTAGCCTCAGCTGTGAGGCTAGAGGTAATGTTTATACAGGGAAGAGAAACAGTATAGCCAAGTTACAGAGTGAACCAGTGTCTGAATCAGAAATAGAACTCCTTGCTTACAGTGCTGTGTTAAATCCCAGCACCACACCCTCGCTGCTAGACAGCAAAGGGGCTGTGTGTTTGAGCAAGAGAAAGCTATGAATAGGGCCTTAGTGACAGTTTTCCCATGCTCTCTCTTCAGGATTGAGACTGTAATGCTTTCTTGTCTGTGGTCCTTTCTCTCCCACAGGATTTGGTTACTCAATGCAGCAAAGTAGAAGTGCCAGGCTTTTGCAGACTGCCTGCTGTGGGTATAGTGTATATGTTCTGGGAGATATAAAACTGAATATATAACTGCAGAGTAAAGCTCACCTATTTGAAACATGCCATCTTGGGAAGTACAAAATAATACATAGCCAGTGAACTAGAAGTATACTGTGTAAAAGGGTCACCAGTGGGCACACTGGAGGGAGTCTGAGCAAATGTGAAAAGACTTCTATTATGAAAGCATTTTTCAAATAAAATAAACTTATTAGCAGTACTTTTTGTAGAAGGCAGGTGCAAGCAGATCATAGTGAATGAAGCTTGGCTTTAATGTTAGGGGTTTTGCATTCCTGTAATTTCTTTAGATTGTGTGACTATGTTAGAAGGATATTTTTGACTATCTTGATTTCTTTCAACAATGGAAAAAAAATGACTTCCAGCCTAATGGGTAGCGTGTGGGGGTGTAAAATAGTATATAATGTGGTTTAAGCAGTTGAGAAGTTTGCCACTCTTTTTGTTTCTGCCACCCCCTTGGCCTCTGTGTACTGTTCTTTCTGAGAAAATTGGAAGAAGTGAGATGAAGTAAGGTAGAGAGGGTGGAATTGGAGGACTTATAAACTGGGAATTCCCTCCAAGCCCTTAATACAAATTAGATGGAAGCACTGACCTCTCTCCAGCAAGGTCTTCTTTTTTTTGTCTTTTCTTCTCCCTTTTCTCTCAATTCTTCAGTTTTTCCTTCTCTGCTACTTTCTTTGCCATCTTCCCTTCTGCTCTCCCAATCTATTTTTATTTCTTCCTTCTCTGTTTTTTTTTTCCTCCTGGACCTTACTTTGTCAAGGTTCCTACTATAGCCTGTTTTCGTATACCAAGGTTACTTCTGGCAAAAGTTGAGCTGGGCCTGTGAGATGAAATGGCCAAGAAGAAATATGATCTTAGAGCAGTGTTAGGCTCAGGGGAGGCACTCCATAAAGCTTTGTTGAATGAGAAATCAGGAACGGCACACTTCCAATTTTAACTTTAAAACTTTAGCTATTAAAAATGCCAACCCTTTGCTTTGCACCCTATATTCTCCAAGGTCAGCTCTCGTTCTGGGCACTGCAGTGAGTGATTTTTTTTTTTCTCAAACCAGTTTTTTCCCCTCAGGCCAAACACTGGTTGAAGTGGCTTCAGGCCTCTATATCTATGGCAGGTTCCCCCTGCCACTCCCTTCTCTGATACAGAGGCCCTTTGACCTGTTCCCTGGGAGGTGGAAGGAAAGAGTGACATAAGGAGGAATCACTTCAGAGAAATGGTTTTTGCGTTTTAAAATATAATCATATGAAAACCCATTACTGGATAAGTCAAGAACAAAGACCACTTTTATTCCATATCTTCCTCATTGAAAACAATTCATTCAGCTGCAACTTGTTCATAGTGTATTATAGAGCATTCAGAAGACAGTCCTCCAATGGCAGCTGTTGACCTAGGAGATGGTTAGTAAGATTTCTATATGCACCTTTGAACAATGATGGTTCAGATACCCAACAAAGATGATTAGTCAGTGACAGCCACGTGTACAAGTGGTGGCAGGCAGAGGGCATGTAACTGGCCAGATCAGAAATGTACAGGGGGATGGCTGTTCACCTCAAATCTACCTTTCATATTTCACTTGTATTCAGCCAGGAAAGGCTTTATTGACCAGGGCCATTTTAAGAGCTGAAGGCATGATAGTAACTGATGGAATGAGCAGTGGGAGAGGGAGTAGGAAAATACCCAAGGCTTAGGGTCTGGCATGAAAATAGCTTAGAAAGGGACTACAGTCTGAAAGAGGGAAACATTGAGATTGTCATTTGAAATATCTCTCTATAAAGGCAACGTAGTATAGCGAAAAAAGTTTTAGCCAGAACTTTAATATACTGAGGGATCCCTGCTCTCTAAACTTATATTTTGGAAGAAAAGGTGAATCAACATTTTAATTCAGGAGTTTACTCATAACTTTTTAAAGAGGTTGTCCTGGAGGTCCCATATTCACCTGTACTCTTGTGCAGTAGAACTAATACTCAGACAATGAAGTTTAGTAATACTGGAAAGTAGACAATGTATTGATAATTTAGAGTAGCTTGATAATCATTTAGTTAGGAATTTTTTTAAAAAACACCTGAATTCTGGTTCTGACTGTATCATTTACATGTTCTTCCATTTCTGACATTATTGTAATTCTAAATTACATAAGCCTCAGTTTCTGCTTCTGTAACATGGTGATAAATTCCTGCCTTGCCTGCCTTATGGTGTACTTGTAGGAATCAAATAAAACATGCTTTTGAAAGTTAAAAAATCATACAAATTTCAAAGTATTAACATTGTTTTAACCATCAGAGTCACCCTCGCCCCCACCCCGCCCCTACCGGCCTTGGGCTCCCCAGAAACAAATACCTTATTCCTGTGCATTGCAGTGCTACAGTATTGCAATTACTGTCTTGAGTGTGATCTCTCCTACTCCTGCAACATACTCTTGTAGTACCTTTTAACATATGGTAGGTACTCAAAAGGTATTTGTTAAACTGAATTGAATGTGCATGTTATTTCCAATCTGGGTAGACAGAATATCTTTTACTCCACAGAAATCGTGGATGGAAGGTAGATTTGATGTCTGGTTCCATCTTGTCTCCCATAGGAGGAAAACATTTCCTACCAGTCCTTAGTCTCAGAGTGCTGAACCCTGCAGCCAGCAGGCCTCCTGAAAAAAATCCATGGGTGACAGAAGATTCATTGACTTCCAATTCCAAGATATAAATTCAAGCCTCAGACCCAGGTTGGGCAATGCTACTGCCAATAATACTTGCAATGTTGATGATTCCTTCAAGTATAATCTGAATGGTGCTGTCTACAGTGTTGTATTCATCCTGGGTCTGATAACCAACAGTGCCTCTCTGTTTGTCTTCTGCTTCCGCATGAAAATGAGAAGTGAGACGGCTGTTTTCATCACCAATCTGGCCCTCTCTGATTTGCTCTTTGTCTGCACTCTACCTTTCAAAATATTTTACAATTTCAACCGCCACTGGCCTTTTGGTGACACCCTCTGCAAGATCTCTGGGACTGCATTTCTAACCAACATCTATGGGAGCATGCTCTTCCTTACCTGTATTAGCGTGGATCGTTTCCTGGCCATTGTCTATCCCTTCCGATCTCGTACCATTAGGACCAGGAGGAATTCTGCCATTGTGTGTGCTGGAGTCTGGATCCTAGTCCTCAGTGGTGGTATTTCAGCCTCTTTATTCTCCACCACTAATGTCAACAATGCAACCACCACCTGCTTTGAGGGCTTCTCCAAACGTGTATGGAAGACTTATCTGTCCAAGATAACCATATTTATTGAAGTTGTTGGTTTTATCATTCCTTTGATACTGAATGTCTCTTGCTCTTCTGTGGTGCTAAAAACCCTCCGTAAGCCTGCTACACTGTCTCAAATTGGCACCAATAAGAAAAAAGTGCTGAAGATGATCACAGTGCATATGGCAGTCTTTGTGGTATGCTTCGTACCCTATAACTCCGTCCTCTTCCTGTATGCCCTAGTGCGCTCCCAAGCCATTACCAATTGCTTGTTGGAAAGATTTGCAAAGATTATGTACCCAATCACCTTGTGCCTTGCAACTCTGAACTGTTGCTTTGACCCTTTCATCTATTACTTCACCCTTGAGTCCTTTCAGAAGTCCTTCTACATCAATACCCATATCAGGATGGAGTCTCTGTTTAAGACTGAAACACCTCTGACCACAAAGCCTTCCCTTCCAGCTATTCAAGAGGAAGTTAGTGATCAAACAACACATAATGGTGGTGAATTAATGCTAGAATCCACCTTCTAGGTATGAGAACTCTCTTTAGGTCCAGATATGGTTTCTTCTATGATTTTCCTATGCTATGAATAAGAGAAAAGATTTCAAGCTAATGATATTGAGAATAGTGTACTGAATACAGTCAGATACATTTATTTGAATGTTTATTGTACATATGCTGTTTTGTTCAATAATTATAGGTCAGGTCTAATTACAACAACAAAAAGTTATTGCCAAACTCTTCTGCTGGGTTGGAAATTCATTGTACCACATTATATAAGTGGACAGTAGCCTTGGATTTAGTGATATGGAGATTACTTAAAAACTTTAAAAAATATATTTCTACTCCAATAATATTTGGTAATTAGGTTGGGCCTATAAATATAGAACAAATTCAGGGATTATTTTTTTTAAAAAACAACCTTTTGTGTTACTACTGATATATGCTAGTCTTTTTTTTTCTTTTTGAATTGTCATTGAGTTTATTTTAGCAGACTAACATATTTTAGCTTAACATTATTAATAAAAAGTATCAAATTTAAGAGAGCTAGCAAAATTTGTTGTATATATTTTGAAAGCAGAAACATAAATTTTGTTTGCATGAATATGGCTGGGAAGAAACAGAAGATTAACTGGATTTACATATTTGCAGTCACCAGCAGTGTCAGTTTTTAAAAACGTTTTCCTTTTTCTACACTACATTAAATTTCTCATATGAAACTTCAGATCCAGAAAGCTGCTAAATATGTGCCCAAAGCAGGGCAAAATGGAAAATCACATAAAACAACAAATATTCATAAAAAACTAAGAGACATCAACATTTTTTCTAAGAATTTCCAATTACCCTTCTTTTCAGAGACTGGTTTTTATAAATATTTTCTATATGAAATTTTGGAGCACAGTGCAACCAGAAAGCTGCTGCATTTGTGCCCAGGTCAGGAGCAAATTGAAAAAATTTAGAAACAATAACAAAAAGACCATAAAACAAAAAAAGTTTTTTAAAACTTGCATTAATCATTTTTGGGGGGAGGGAGTAGAGATCTGTAACTTTAAATTACTTATTCTTTCATATTAATTTTGGAGCACAGTATAGCTGGAGAGCTGCTGAATTTGTGCCCAGGTTGGGAGCATATTGAAAAAAAATACATAAACCAAACTAAACCAATACAAACAAACAAACAAACAAAAAACAGAAAAACTGCAAAATGGTAAAAACAACAAAAAATTCCTAAGACTTGCATTAATATTTTATTTATTTTTTGAGTATATGTAAACTTAAAAATATTGAATTATTTGTAAAAAATTTTAGAGTACAATACAGGTAGAAATCTGCTACATTTGTGCCCAGGTCAGGACCTCATTGGAAAAAATAAAACAAAATGACCCCTTAGAAAACAACAACAAAAAACACACAAAAAACTTAGAACTTTTTTTTCTGAGCATTTTTCAAACTTACAAAAAACTATAACTTTCATATGATGCTTTGAATTAAAATGCAGCTAGGAAGCTGCTAAACTGGCATCTAGTTCAAGAGCAATTAAAATCAATATTTAAAGGTATACAAAAGAAGAGAAAACATTTTTTATAACTAACTTAAACAACAAAAGCAACAAAAACATCCTTATAATCTCTTACTATTTATTGGATGAAGTGTAGGTTTAAGAATATTAAGACCTATAAACAAAACTTCTGAGCACGGTATAGTTTGAAAGATGCTACATTTGTTCTCATATAAGAAGCAGTGGAAATAAATATCCTGCATGCATACTACACACACACAATTAAAGCACTACAAAACCAAACCAAAATATTCTTAAAATATGTTTTAATCGATTTTTAAGTTATTTGGAGATGTGATAATTTTAAAATGCTAAGACTTTTTAAGTAAAACTTTCAGGAACAATGCATCTTGTAAGTTGCTGAACTTGTGCCAGGGAGAGATTAAAAACCGTACAACAATGACAAAAAAGTAAAAGTTTTAAAGCAATAAGCAAATTGTTAAAACTCTCATTAACCTTTGTTTTTCTTTCTGACATATGTAGATTTAAAAATACTAAGATTTTTAGATAAAAATCCAAGAGCCTAATGTAATTTTAAAAACCACCAAATCTGTGCCTGGGTTACGAACTAAGTGAAAAAAAGGCTAAAACAATAGAACAATAATAAAAATGAATTCTCAAAAATGGCATTACTTTTTCCTCATGATCTAAAGTCCTAAAAATAAACATGCAATAGATAGAATATGTAAGGCATTAGGTTGAGTTAGATGAAATTAGGTTAAGTTAGGTAAAGTTTGGTTGTTAAGTTATGTTGTAAAATCAAATTAGTAATCAAAGTATGAATAATCTTTTTCTTTTGGTATTCTTTCTTTTCTGTTTCTTGTAAGTATAAACTATATGTGAACTTTTGTTTGTGCCCTGGACTCTCAAAATTATGAAATTTGAGGATTATGACACCAAACCATTTAATAGGATATATTAACCAAGTTGACATAAAATATATCAATAAACCAGTTTCCTTTTGTGTAATTTCCATATTTAGTTTTGTTTACTTTTCCATATTTCAATTTATCTTAATTTCCAATTTTATAGTTAATATAACTTGCTAATAATAAAAAATTTTGTCATGTTAACAATGTAACCAACAAAATGTAATGTAAACTAAATGTAAAATTGCCTTTTATTTTACATTTAAAAGCAAAAGCAATCATTCAACTGTATTTACAACTTGGATTTTAAATGCTTATTAAATGTAATAAAATACACTTGGATTATCTAGCAGTTATACTTTGGTCAACTATTTATTCAACTTTCCCTTTTTATTGAATTACAATTGACATGCAATATTATATTAGTTTCAGGTGTGCAGAAGACCTGAATAGACATTTTTCCAAGGAAGATGGTCAACAGGCACATGAAAAGATGCTCAGCATCACTAATCATCAGGGATATGCAAGTCAAATGAGATAACACCTCACATCTATCAGAATGGCTATTATTAAAAAGACAAGAAACAAGAAATGTTGACGAGGATGTGGAGAAAAGGGAACCTTCAACTTTGCCTTTATTTGTGGGCACCCAGAGACAATTTTCTATTATCTTTCCTCCATCCTTCAAGAAAGAACTTATTAAAGTATATTTGTTCTCAAACCAATTCCAGTACTTTGTTTTGGAGGCTGTCTAAAGACTAATGCAGAGTTGCAAATGGCAAATCCATGGGTGACTTTTCAGAGATCAAGTTGAAAGGTTAAGTTGGTTTGTCCAACTTGGCTTTGATTTATTTGGAGTTTATTGCCAAGCTGACTCTTGAATCTGATTTCTCAGATTTGAGGAAACATCCTAGGATGACTGGGAGGCCTGGGGAAAGTCAGGGGAGAAAAAAAAATCTGACAACAATTAGAAGATTTTGGAAATAGGTGGCTGACTGATCAATAACTAAAACAGGTGGTGGTCCCAGAGTAGCAGCACAGGGAGTTCATAGTCATTGTCCCCATGCCTTCGAACTCTCAGGGAAAGCAATGTCAGCATCTCATAAACCACTCTGTGTATTGGTTCCCCATGTGATGACATCAAACACTGCCTTTTCTAACATCACGACCAGCATGATTAGCCCTAGGCTATGGTTAAAATTATAAGAACTTTGTGATTAGTGACCTTCTAGATCAGATCCTCAGAAAAAAATGGGTCATTGGTGTCACATCCTTATTAGCTTTCTTCCACCTCTGTCTCTACCCCCAAACCCCTGTACCTTATGTTTGCTATTGTTTCCCAAACTCTCTACCTGTCTTTCCTGTGGCCCTTTAACATCTCTCCCTACCTCTTACAGAAATAGTGCTTCTTTGTGGACTGAAAACAATACATAAACGTCTGTCAAGACAGTGACACACTGAACAGATTTACATTAAGTTGCCAATGATTGACCCCTTCACCCACTGCTTTTAATCCTCCCTTTGTTGTTTGCATCTTATAAAAGGAGTCTGGTTAATTCAAATGACTGAAGCAGGGTTGGGATGGGTAGAGATGACTGTCCTGGTAAATGGTGAATCATCTGTTGAGCCTCTGGTAAAGCCTCTGTACTGCAACTCTCTTGTCCCACTCTCTTGACACTACCCTGTGTACCACTGAGTCCAAAACGTACACTGCCTTCCTCCAGACAGCCCTATTTTCCAAAATTGCCTGTGGTTACTGAATAAAAATTTCCCCTTGTATTCAGAGTTTTGCGTAGCTATATACTTCCCACTGCTTCCCTTCTTTCTCTCTCTGAGTGTGGGGAATGAAGCTCTTCTCTCCCAAGCACCCAGAGAGGTACTGAGTCCAAGAGGGTAGAGGAGTAGAGCCAGTGTGAAGCCTAAAATGTGGCAGTGAGGGAAGCCAGGCAAGCTCTAAGATTGGAATGACTTGTGTGTGCCTTGCAACCAGCTTTCCTTCTTACTTATCATGGAGGAGCTCCGATCTTATAGATGAGATGCTTATTACAAAGAGCCCTCATTCCCACTACTAGTCTAGGATAAACTGTCTGCTCAGCTTTTTACCTTCCTTACTCAAGTTGGTGGTGTCAAGGCCAAAACTAGGGGGCACCTTTCTCAGTTGGGATTCTGGGACTTCTGGACTAGCCTTGATTCAAGGCAGTTTGAGGTTCTTGAGAAACAGGCTGGGGGAATTCCTAGGGACCAAGAATTCATTCATTTACTTAGTCAACGTATTTCTTGAACACCAACTATGTGCCAGACATCCTTCCAGGCACTGAGGATGTGGTGGTGAAAATAACAGAAAAAAACTGTTTTTAAACCTTATGTTCTTGAGTCAGATCAGGCATAGCCAAAAACAAGTAAATAAGCTAAAAGTAATATGACAGATGATAGTAAGTGCTATGCAGCGAAGTAAAGGAGAACACATACCTGAAACCAAATTTCGGGCTCCCAGCGTACTGGATTAAAACTTTAAAGATCATAAACATTAAAAAGAGGAGTATGCCTCTCTCTAAATAAGTAATTAAAATTATTTTAATTAATTTTATGCTATACTTAACAATGCATGTAAGGAAGTGCAAAAAAGTTCTGACTTTAAAACATCACATTACCAATGTTTGTTTTCAAAAGAGTTATGTAGCCCTGAATTGTCTAAATTCTGTAGTTATTCTGTCTACCTTTGGGTGTTTATGCTCTTGCTCAAGCCACAGAGATCTCAAAAGGTTAATGAAAACCCAGGCATAGGCAACTTTCAGTCAGCAATGCTGATAATGTCATGGCCTCAGCCTCCTCTCCCCTCAGGCTTCATCTTACAGCAAGAGGCTCACTTGCTTTCTATCTGTCTCTCTGTCTCTGTCTTTGTCACTTTCTCTGACTCTTTCTCTCCATCATTCCTTTCAGGAAAACATGCTCCCAGAAAAGGATCTGAATGCTAACTCTGTGCTGTAATAAAGAGATTTGGGTTGGAAACCCAAATCTGGTTTTTATATTCCACTTTCCTACTCACTGTGTGAACTTGGGCAAGTCCCTTCCTCTCTTTGTGACTGAGTTCCATTATTAGTAAAATGAGCAGGT